ATGTAAGTTAATTTACGTACAGTGTGGTAAACTGGTCGTGATTTAGCACATTAGCCTGAAATATATCATAAAGCTATGTTATATAAGTTTAAATATGAAGTTCTGATTCTTAAATAAATTATGTTTGTACAATTTGAAGTCTCATTTTTTAAATGAATCAATATATTGGCGGATATGGGGCGAGTCTGTACCGGATCCGGTTTGAATCCGTGATTTTTAGCTGTTCCGGATCCGTCCCGTTGTGCAAGTGGACTCTGTTCCGGACCTGTTGTGCGGATCTGTTCCGGAGCTCGTGATACGTCTGGCGCGGATCCGGCGCGGAGTCATTTTTGCTATCTGGGATGCATTTGGTTGTTTATGTTGTGCAAATAAAAGTTCTTAAGTATTATTTTGGTGTGATGTTTTTTAGAAAATGCTGTACATATATCACAACCCCTTGATAAGTAAAGTAAGCTATAAAATGACCTAATGTATAATAAAAAAAAACATTAACCAAATGTGCAGGAAGTAGGGTAAATAATGCCCATGTCCATAACTAAGATTTTTAACTAACATTTTTTTTAGCTTCCTTTCCCTTCATTTTAGCCCAGCAGGCAAAGGAAAATGAATTCCCTCTTGAAACACAAGGAACAACGGACAGGTTAAGAATTGAAGTACACAGGTTAAGACTTTTTTTTTTTTTAAAAAAAGGATTAAAATATGGGTACACAAGATTGATATACACCCCAATTTTATTACGTTTTCTAAAGAAAAGGCATCTATTCAGCAATACCATTGGGAAAAACTATATGTAAGATTACTGTCAGGCACTAAAAGCAACGCGCACACAGATGCAAATATTACAATCTGCAAAGCAAAATGGTTTAAATACCACAATAAAGTGACGGCTGAACTACAAATATAAACATCAATGACCCATCTCACAATACGTGACCAATGAATGATGATACAGTACATCCACGTCCTGAATCACGCAATTACGGTCTGCAGTAAAATGTGAATACATGCGCAGTATCGAGCCTGTGGAAGTGTACATTACGCATGAGTAATAAAGAAGTGCCAGAAAATGGAGAAGGGTCTGGCTGCAGACTTCCACCAGGAGGATCTCCACTAGAGGGACGGAAACACGTGATCTCCACAAGCGATCCGAACATGATGTTATGCAAACATGCATGGAGATGGTACGAGATATCACATAATTGTCACACACAGCCCGGACTTTAACTCGACCGAACAGAAATCGAGTCTTTTAAAGTATATACTTATTATTTTGGTGATCGATTAAAATTATATTATTAACATTGGAAAC